ACACTCACACACACACACACACTCTCTCTCTCACACACACACACTGATTTTACTATCTATATGAGGATTTATTACAGTTACTGATTTATCATGCAGCTCAAAGAATTATGTGTATAATAACTCGTCAATCTATTCTGATACATCAAATCAGTTTCACTGTTGATCCAATAAAAACATAAACCCCAGGATAGAGGGGCTGAGTGAATGTGGTCTGTACTGTGTGGATGAGGCTCATTGTGTCAGAGACGCTGTAGAAGGACAGAGTTCCTGCACTGTGATCCACAAACACTCCTATTCTCCTGCTGATATCATCCTCATCATCATCATCATAAAACACTCCTGTTCTGCTGCTGTTGATGGGCTTCACAGGGAGAGCAGTGTGTTTGTTATTGTGTCTGAATGAGTAACTGTAGGAAGAGCAGAACAAACTCCAGGACTGATCATTATATCCAAACCAACACTCATCGCCCCGTCCCTTCCTGCTGATGCTCTTATATGACACTGATATACACACATCTCCACTCCACTCAATCTCCCAGTAACAGCGTCCACACACACTTTCTCTACACAACACCTGAAACACACAATCAAATCTGTCTGGATGATCAGGATACGACTGTTTCTCTCCAACACCTGTCACCTTTCTGTTCTCCTCAGACAGAATGAGTTGAGTGTGTGCTGTGTTTGGATCGTGTATAATAACTCGTCAATCTATTCTGATACATCAAATCAGTTTCACTGTTGACCCAATAAAAACATAAATCCCAGGATAGACCGGCTGAGTGAATGTGGTCTGGACTGTGTGGATGAGGCTCATTGTGTCAGAGACGCTGTAGAAGGACAGAGTTCCTGCACTGTGATCCACAAACACTCCTATTCTCCTGCTGATATCATCATCATCATCATCATCATCATCATCATCATAAAACACTCCTGTTCTCCTGACATAATCATACACTCCTATTCTACTGCTGCTGATGGGCTTCACAGGGAGAGCAGTGTGTTTGTTATTGTGTCTGAATGAGTAACTGAAGGGAGAGCAGAACAAACTCCAGGACTGATCATTAAATCCAAACCAACACTCATCACCCCGTCCCTTCCTGCTGATGCTCTTATATGACACTGATATACACACATCTCCACTCCACTCAATCTCCCAGTAACAGCGTCCACACACACTCTCTCTACACAACACCTGGGGATACACATCAAATCTGTCTGGATGATCAGGATACGACTGTTTCTCTTCCACACCTGTCACTGTTCTGTTCTCCTCAGACAGTCTGAGACGAGTGTGTGCTGTGTTTGGATCCAGTGTGAGAAAACAGGCATCTGAACACAAGAACAGAGACATTAATAACACAACAATCACTACAGCTGTGTGTGTGTTTTATATATGAGTGTGTATGTGTTTTATATATGTGTGTGTGTGTGTAGACGTACATTTCTTTAGTCCTGCTGTAATCCTGGATTCTCCTCCATGATCCACGCTAGAAAACACACACAGAGACACATTCAGTCAGTGAACACAAGTTTTAGTTTGACAGATTTAAAAAATATTAGACAGAAATTAAGTTTAAATGAGTGGTTGCTATGGTACTTGGGGTGGTTGCTATGCTGTTGATAACATGTTCTGTGTGGTTGCTAGGCAGTTGCTAGGGCACACGGGGTGGTAGCTAGGGTCTCGCTATGCAGTTGCTAGTGTTATCGTCACATTGCTAGCATGTTTTGGAATGATTTAGCATGTTCTAGCCTTGATTGAGTCTCAAGGGATTCTGGGAGTTTAGATTAGAATTTTGTCAGTTTGAGTTTGAATAGTCGTGGCTCATCTGAACATTCCGTTGATGTAAGTCTGTTTTTATCAGTGAAACAACATACAGAACTACCACATTTTGCTATAAGTTTGATTGCATCATATAATAATAGCTGTTAATAGTGTTCATCGTCTGTTTTATTACGTCTTAAATTGATTTTTCCGTACATTTCTGCCATATGTACATTAACTGACAGTCACCACTGATAAGCTACCACTAAATATTGTAGAAACTTAATTTGCTGTAAAGTTGCTTTGCAATGTTTTGTATCATGAAAAACGCTGTACAAATAAACTTGACTTAATGCATTATAAAAATGTAAAACATTCAGACAGTAAAATATATATTTATGTATTATTTAATTAAAAGGCTATAATTGATTGATAATAATTATTTAAATTAATATAGCCTAATAATTGATACTTTTGCCTCCATTTTCTTAAAAAAAATGGTTTAAAGGCTGAAATGTGAAGTTAATCATTCTAAAAACCTTTTTGTTTTTGTGAAAACTTGTCTCTCAACTCTAAATCATGCTTTTTACAGTCATTTTAATTTTATTTGTGCAGGTGTTAAAAAGTCTTAAATATGAGCTTAAATATCCTGCAGATACCATGGTCTGCCAAAAAACACCAATTTATGTTTTAAGGTAGGCCTATATAACTGTCCGGACCTCAGCTGGTGAGGAGGGTTCATTACTGGACCTCAAGCAGCTTTAGTTGAAGACCCCTGGTCTGTGGGATTTTTATGGTTCTTAATCTTTTTCTTTCATTTTTTCTTTATTTTCAGGTGTTTCTCAGAGACTGAACTGGTTTAAAGTGCAGAGATTCTGCAGCAATAAAATCTCTTCCTGAACTTCACAAGAGCTTGAAGAAACACAGCGGTGAAATCAACACAGTAATATTTGTCTGTACTATCAAAAATACATCTGAATCAGAAATGTTCATGATTTCCATCATTCTGACAGATAACAGATATTGTATTTCCCTGCTTTAGAAACTCTGATAACAGAGATCAGAAATGAATAAGAGACAATTAAATTTTAAAGCATCTGATGAAAACAAACCTGGAAAGAGATGTGAAGACCAGAGATTCTTAGAGCATTCAGTGAATTATTCATGGGATGAAAAAATACAAAAGAGCAAAATGCAAATGAAAGATGAAAATAATCAGGATGAAACGAATGAAAAAGCTCTTCTATAGAGAATGTGAAGCTACGTCATACTCCATTCAGGGAGGATCGTCCTCTGCTACAAACGCTGGACGCTCGCTGCTGCTTCAGTGTCATACTGCAGAATATCCAAATAAAAGTATGTTCAACAAGCTGACAGAAGTCCATCCATTTCTTTGTTGGAAACAATTCAGTGACGAAGTATGATTGTTGTCATTGTAAATATAAATTTTTCCATGACCACGGAGGAGAGTCAGAGATTGTGGGTCACATTCAGCGGACAGACATGAGCATACTGTATTTTTATATTTATTTCAACAAATTACAACCAAAATCAAATGCTTGGGAGCTTATGAACAGATTTGAGGCATTTTGAAATGCTGACAGTGATGCTAAAAGACATGCAGATGAGCCAGAGCCGGCGTCAGCGCAGCACTGATGAGGGGGCAGCTGAGGTAACGAAAGGGGGCGATTACGTAGCACAAAGTAAAAAAAAAACATATGTGGCCCATTCACGTTTTTCTCGGACCGTAAACAAACATGCCCGCTACTATTAGAATACTGGGTTCGCACTGATAGTGTTTTGGTCGCGAGACTTGGTCAGTGGAAGGTTTTTTTTATATATTTTTTTTTAACCGCAAGGTCTAGACACATGTTTTTCGAAGCTGAATTTCTTTGTACTTGAGCGCCGTGTTTTAGAATGATGTATTATGCACGAAAAGCTGCTATAAAGACCTGAGACGACCGCAGCATTCAAACACAAATGCAAAGACGTCATGCTTGACATACTTCAGTTGATCCAATGAGCAGTTTGGGTCCTCCTGTTTTTCAGAGAGCAGCTTGACTCCTGAATCTCCCAGGTGATTGTAGTTCAGATCCAGCTCTCTCAGGTGTGAGGGGTTTGAACTCAGAGCTGAAGACACATAACCACAGCCTTCCTCTGTCACCATACAGCCAGACAATCTACAAATACAGCAATAGTCCATGTGACATCTCTTACACACATTTATACTTATTTCAGCCATTAATTGTGGTCATGTCTTAAGGTTTACTTTGTTAAAAAAAACTTCTCCCTCATTAGAAATGCAATAATGTCACTGTCAGTACATGATGTCAATGATTTAAAACAAAAAAGCTAAAACGCCATGTAAACATTATAAATAAAATGATGGAAACGGCTGTCCAGTGGAGTTGTGTCACTGGTTTTACTGCTGAACAAACAACACTTGTTAAGAAAAAAATCTAGACTTTTGACATCACTTTCTATTTAAATCTATTTGGCATCACTTTCTACTGTCCTTTCACCTTGGAAGAATACATATTGTAATGTCTGATTACTTTTCTTAGGGAATTAATTATTATTAATTCATTCAGGTTTTGAGAGGACTCGAATCTGAAAATTTGAAGTCACCCTGATTAGAACTGATTTCGAATTTGTAATAGTTTACACCTTATCAACGGTCGTCCAGCGAGACGTTAATGTCCGTGTACATTACCGATTCTGTTCATATTACTTCGTGGCCAACGACACAAACAAAATGGTAATCTTATGAAATTTTGAGCAAGGTAACAAGGATCTAGGCAGAGTTTTAACTTTAAAATGTCACAACACAAGACAATGATTCCTTATATATGAAACATGAATTTATTGGCTATTCTAAATTACATTGACCTAAGCTAAGACAGACACATACACACACACACACACACACACACACACATATACAGTTCTGAAGAATGATGTTAACAGAGTTTTGAGGAAAGCCCAAAGTTTTAGCAAGATATTCGCTACAGTTCTCTTACTTGCAACCTGAGAAAATCACAAAGCAGAGATTTGGCTTGTTTTAGCAAGATATTAGCTACAGTTCTTTTACTTGCAACCTGAGAAAATCACAAAGCAGAGACTTTGCTTAGGTTTACTGCTTAAAATTATCTCGGCACCAGTTCAGCAGATAGAAGATTTAGCTTGTTTACTTGCGTTTTTGGGTGACAGCTGAAAAGCTGAGTTTCCTTGTTTGGCTGCTTGAGGGAATTCCGTTGCTGATTGGTTACTGAGATGACGTCAGGATGGCGTCCCTTTTTGGAAGCCCTCCGGAGATTGGTTGGTTTCTTGATGACGCAGAGGCTTGAGCCGTTCTGCTGAAAAAGTCTGAGTTTGCCTTCAGCTAAATATCTACAGCGGATCTAAATATTCATAATTAATTATAACTAGTTATGATTAATTATTCATAATTTCCTCATGAGCTGATTCGTTACAATACTATTAACATTTACTTCATTTCAACATTCTGCATTTGTCATGCCCATTCGTTCAAGATTAAACTTCACATATTACACACATTTTAATAACCTTATTTCCTAAAAAAGGGTAATAAAACACTGATTAAAGTTGCACCGATTACATGAAACACATCAAGCATATATATAAGACATACAACATATTATTTGTGAATCTGGTTGCCCTGTTATGCGCATAAATGATTATCTGTTGAAATTGTCTGTTGTAAGTTTCATGTCCCTTTGTCTGTGACAGGAGAAACGCGCGCTTTTCTGAAAGTAGTAAAAGGATGCGTCCCTTTTTTGGAATGCAGGGGGAAAAGGGGAGGTGTCCTGAGGTCATGCCCATGTCACGAGTGTATGTCTGCCATTCTTCTTGCTAGGACATGAAGCTATAAAATTGTCTCTTTGTTGACGGGATTCGCAATT